ATTGCCCAAGACTCCTCCAGGACGACCGACGAGGGCCCCAAGGCTGCCTAAGGTAGGCCCCAGGAAGCCCCGATGGGCTCCCAAGCGAACTCCCTGAGGGTCCCAGGAAGCCTGCCGAAGAGCCAGCAAGGCTCCTGACTGCCAAAGCTAGGGCCCGGGAGTCGCCGAAGCGCTGCCAAGAGGCCCCCAAGGTGACCCCCAAGAGGCTAAAATCATGTCATCCCCAAGGTCAAACGTACAGTTTGACCGCATACCCTTTGTCGGTTGCCTCCACGTCCGAGACGGCCCAACAGGCCTCCAAGTTCGCTCCAAGACGGCCCAAGACGCCCCCAAGAGGTCCCAAAGACTTCCCAAGGTCGCTCCAAGACGACCAACGAGGGCCCCAAGGCTGCCTCAGGTAGGCCCCAGGGAGCCCCACACACAAGGCTCCCAAGAGAACCCCTGAGGGTCCCAGGAAGCCTCCCCAAGAGCCATCACGGCTCAGACTGCCTCAGGTAGGTCCAGGGGGCACCACAAGGCTCCCCAGAGAGCCCCCTGAGGGTCCCAGGAAGCTTCTTCAAGAGCCATCAAGGCTCCAGCCTGCCGAAGTTACGGCTGGGGAGACCCCAAAAGGCCGCCAAGAAGCCCCCTAGGTGACCCCAAGAGGCTAAAGTCGTTTGATTTCCGAGGTAAAGAATCATGCCTAAGTTAAGGCCTGGGAGACCCCAAAAGGCCCCCACGAGGCCCCCAAGGTGACCCCCAAGAGGCCAGCATCGTGTTACTTCCTCTGGAACACCTACATTTCTACCGCTTGGTCTTTGTCGGTTGCTTCCGCGTCCACGACGGCCCCCGAGGCTTCCAAGGTCGCTCCAAGACGGCCCAAGACGCTCCCAAGGGGTCCCCAAGATTGCCCAAGACTCTTCCAGGACGACCGACGAGGGCCCCAAGGCTGCCTAAGGTAGGCCCCAGGAAGCCCCGATGGGCTCCCAAGCGAACTCCCTGAGGGTCCCAGGAAGCCTGCCGAAGAGCCAGCAAGGCTCCTGACTGCCAAAGCTAGTGCCCGGGAGTCGCCGAAGCGCTGCCAAGAGGCCCCCAAGGTGACCCCCAAGAGGCTAAAATCATGTCATCCCCAAGGTCAAACGTACAGTTTGACCGCATACCCTTTGTCGGTTGCCTCCACGTCCGAGACGGCCCAACAGGCCTCCAAGTTCGCTCCAAGACGGCCCAAGACGCCCCCAAGAGGTCCCAAAGACTTCCCAAGGTCGCTCCAAGACGACCAACGAGGGCCCCAAGGCTGCCTCAGGTAGGCCCCAGGAGCCCCACACACAAGGCACTCCCAAGAGAACCCCCCTGAGTTCCCCAGAATCCCTCCCAAGAGCCATCAACGGCCTCAGACTGCCTCAGGAAGGCCAGGGCACTCCAAGGCACCCCAGAAGAGCCCCCTGAAGGGTCCCCAGGGCCCAGCCAGTCGGACACATTCAAGGCTCCAGCCTGCCGAAGTTACGGCTGGGGAGACCCCAAAAGGCCGCCAAGAAGCCCCCTAGGTGACCCCAAGAGGCTAAAGTCGTTTGATTTCCGAGGTAAAGAATCATGCCTAAGTTAAGGCCTGGGAGACCCCAAAAGGCCCCCACGAGGCCCCCAAGGTGACCCCCAAGAGGCCAGCATCGTGTTACTTCCTCTGGAACACCTACATTTCTACCGCTTGGTCTTTGTCGGTTGCTCCCGCGTCCACGACGGCCCCCGAGGCTTCCAAGGTCGCTCCAAGACTGCCCAAGACGCTCCCAAGGGGTCCCCAAGACTGCCCAAGACCCCTCCAAGATTATCGACGAGGGCCTCAAGGCTGCCTCAGGTATGCCCCAGGGAGCACCACAAGGCTCCCAAGAGAACCCCCAGAGGATCACAGGAAGCCTGCCGAAGAGCCAGCAAGGTTCAGAATAATGCTTAAGTTAAGGCCTGGGAGACCCCAGAAGGCCCCCACGAGGCCCCCAAGGTGACCCCCAAGATGCCAGCACCGTGCTACTTCTTCCGGAAAACGTGCATTTCTACCGCTTGGTCGTTGTCCGTTGCTTCCGCGTCCGAGACGGCCCCAGAGGCTTCCAAGGTCGTTCCAAGACGGCCCAAGACACCCCCAAAAGGTCCCCAATATTGCCCAAGACCCTTCCAAGATGATCGACGAGGGCCTCAAGGCTGCCTCAGGTAGGCCCCAGGGAGCCCCACAAGGCTCCCAAGAGAACCCCCAGAGGATCACAGGAAGCCTGCCGAAGAGCCAGCAAGGTTCAGAAGAATGCCTAAGTTAATGCCTGGGAGACCCCAAAAGGCCCCCACGAGGCTCCCAAGGTGACCCCCAAGAGGCCAACATAGTGCTGTTCCCTTGGGAAAGCGTATATTCTCCTTTCTAAAAAGAGAATATACTCTACCCCCCCCCGGACGTATCGCTTCCCCCTGGGATAATATGATTTCATATATATATATATATATATATATATATATATATATATATGTTTCTAGCACGAACATAAACCCGACTTGCTAAAGCAAACCAATCCCAGGCCAACCGGTTTCCCCCCCTGAGGTTCCCTTGTAAAAAAAAATATGCGGTGACATTTTTGATCTAACATCGCACTTTTTCGCGAATCCCTTTGCCAAAAAATGGGACGAAGTGCGCACGCGCGCGTCGTCGCGCGCGCATGCCGAAATCCTTCAAAAAAAAAAAAAAAAAAAAAAAAACGCTTCCGGTTCCGGAGGAATTTCGCAATCGCGTTTTTCCAAACACATACAAAAACATATGTTTCGCAACACTGATGTGACAAAAAAAATGCTTCCGCGCGAGCTCTTGCGAACCTTAAAAACGAAAAACCATAGGTTTTTTTCAAGATTTTCACAATATGCTACCAAACGGGCTTCGCGCGCGCGCATGTCGAAATCTGTCGAACGCCCTTGCGCGTGTGCCGTCGCGAGAATCCTCTGCAAAAAATGGGACGAAGTGCAGACGCGCGCGTCGTCGCGGGCGTACGCCGAAATCCTTCAAAACCCATCGGTTTCGGAAGGATTTCAAAATCGCGCGTCCGAAAAACCTACAAATTTAAATCGTGCGACCGAAAAACCTACAAAGAAACCAAATTTTTCGCAACACGGATTTTCAACAAAAGCGTGCGCGCGCGCTCTTGCGTCGTCGTCGTCGTCGTCGCCGTCCTCCCTCCTCTCGCGTCGTCGTCGTCGTCGTCGCCTACGTCGTCCTCTGTCTTTCCTCGTGTTCGTCGTCGTCTTCCTCTTTGGCGTCGTGGTCGTTTCCGTCGTCGTTGTCGCCGTGGTCGTCCTTCCTCCTCCTCCCTCGTCGTCGTCGTCGTCGTCCGTCGTCGGCGTCTCGTCGTCGTCCCTCCTATTTCGTCGCCGTCGTCGTCGACGTTGTCGTCGTCGTCTTCCCTCCTCCCTCGTCGTTGTCGTCGTCGGCGTCGCCGTCCTTCCTCCTTCGTCGTCGTTCGCGTCGTCGCCGTCCTCACTCCTCCCTCGTCGTTGTCGTCGTTGTCGTCGTTGTCGCCGTCGTCGTCCTTCCTCCTCCCTCGTCGTCGCCTTCGTTGGCGTCGTCGTCGTCGTCGTCGTCTTCGTCGTCGTCGGCGTCGGCGTCGTTGTCGTCGTCGAAGTCGTCGGATACGTCGGTGTCGTCCTAGTCGTTGTCGTCGGTATCGTCGTAGTCGGTCTTAGCAGGGTTTGCAAACCAAGTTGCGGGTGGGTGGGTGGGATGTTTGCGCGAGCAGTGGAGATGACGACTTCAAGTTCAACAGAGTGGACTTCTACCGCATAGTCTTTGTCGGTTTCCTTTGCGTCCACGACATCCCCAGAGGCTTCCAAGGTCGCTCCAAGACGGCCCAAGACGCTCCCAAGGGGTCCCCAAGATTGCCCACCCAAGACTCCTCCAGGACGACCGACGAGGGCCCCAAGGCTGCCTAAGGTAGGCCCCAGGAAGCCCCGCAGGGCTCCCAAGAGAACTCCCTGAGGGTCCCAGGAAGCCTGCCGAAGAGCCATGAAGGCTCCAGACTGCCAAAGCTAGGGCCTGGGAGTCCCCAAAGCGCTGCCAAGAGGCCCCCAAGGTGACCCCAGAGAGGCTCAAATCATATCATTCCCAAGATAAAACGTACAGTTCGACCGCATACCCTGTGTCGGTTGCCTCCACATCCGAGACGGCCCAACAGGCCTCCAAGTTCGCTCCAAGACGGCCCAAGACGCCCCCAAGAGGTCCCAAAGACTTCCCAAGACCCCTCCAAGACAACCGACGAGGGCCCCAAGGCTGCCTCAGGTAGGCTCCAGGGAGCCCCACGAGGCTCCCAAGAGAACCCCCAGAGGACCCCAGGAAGCCTCCCCAAGAGCCATCACGGCTCAGACTGTCTCTGTTCGGCCTCGCAGGGCCCCAAAAGGTCCCCAAGAGACGCCCAAGGTGACCCCCAAGAGGTCCAAATCGCGTTATTCCTTCAGGAAAGCGAGCGTTGTTTCGCATACCTTTTGTCGGCTTCCTGCGCGCCCTAGACGGTCCAGCAGGCCTCCAAGATCGCTCGCAGACGGGCCAAGACGCCCTCAAAAGGTCCCCAAGGCGGCCCGAGATTCTTCCAAGACGGCCGACAAGGACCCCACGACGGCCTCAGATAAGCCCCAGGTGGCCCCACAAGGCACCCGAGCGAATCCCCAAAGTCATAGGAAGACTCCCAGAGAGCCATCAAGGCTGCAGACTGCCTAAGTTGGGGCCCAAAGGGCTCCCAATGAGCCCCCAAGAGATCCTTCTGAGGGCCACACGTAAGAGCCGTCAAGCCTCCAGACTGCCTAAGTTAGAGCCCCGAAGGCCCTGGCCTCAGGACCCCCCTCACGAGGCCACAGAAGGCTCCAAGACCGCGCCAAGACGGCCCCAGCCCACGAAGGTCCAAGAGAGCCCCGGCGGATCGCCGGCAGAAGCGGGCACCAACTTGTTCCACCAACGGAACGCACGCGACTACCGTCCAGACGGGAAGAATTCTGCCGCATCGTCATATGGAATGGCAGCCGCTCCAATGATCCAGAAGACGGAGAAGCTACGCCCCAGGGGCGCGTGCCGAGCGGCAGCAGGCCCGCAGACAATCCAGAGAAGTTCGACGAACTGGAGAAGGAGGTATTGTCGGTGGTCGAAGAGCTCGTTGATCTTCAGGTGCAGCCTGTATGAAAGGACGGGTCGTACATGGCTGTCATGGGCGTGGCGGCCGAAAGCACTTGGGGCCTCGAGAAGGGGTCAGCAGCGCAGATTATGTGGGACACTCTGGCAAGCAGAGCGCTCGCCCATCTCCACAGCAGAGTGCTACACTACGCGTGGCGTGCTCCCCAGGTTGTTCGCAGTCAGGGCCACCGAGCTCTACGCGAAGGGGCGCCATCCGCCGAGGGACCCCTGGCACTTCTACGTGGGCGACCCCTCGAAGCACTCGGGCCCGGCGCAGAACAACGACAAGTCGTTTGTTGATGAGATGGCCAAGTGCATCATCAACCTCGGCGAGGCTGTCATGTCGTTGATGTCGCCGACTACGGATGCCTTGAGCGCCAGTCATCTTGACCCGGGGTCGCAGAAGCCGCCGCCTCCGCCACCTGGAGGTAAAGTCCCGGGGACAGAACGGGTGCCCCTGAGGCTGGAGAGCCAGCCGGTCATGGAGGGCTACTACAGCAACAGCGCCAAGGGCCCACACTCGGTCCACGAGCCGATCAAGCCCATCGGCAAGATCGGGGCGCCCGCCATCCCCGTCCCAGACTACGTCAACGTCAACCCGGACGAGTTCGCGACCTTTCGCAATGAAAAAGGGGGTAGAAGTGGGAGAATGGGACGACCTTCCGTTCGCTTCAATTTATTAAGACGACGAAGAGATACACATGCCAGGCATGCCCAGAGCAAGCGGCGATGCAGATTATTGTGCCTCGTTGGGCGATTTCATGGCCCACATCATCGAGACTGGCAGCCAGAACGCGAGGTGCGCCGGACAGTCCGGAGCATCGCAGGATCAAACGGGAATGAACCTTTTCAAAGCCATGATCCCAGTGCGACCCTACCTAGCAGTTGGAGCCCCTAGGAAAGCAGCACTAGTAGTAACAGTAAATCTAAGCTAAAGCTAAGCTGAAGCTAAGCTAAAGCTAAACTAAAGCTAAGCTAAAGCTAAGCTGAAACTAAGCTAAAGCTAAGCTAAAGCTAAGCTAAAGCTAAGCTAAAGCTAAGCTAAAGCTAAGCTAAAGCTAAGCAAAAGCTAAGCTAAAGCTAAGATAAAGCTAAGCAAAAGCTAAGCTAAAGCTAAGCTAAAGCTAAGCTAATGCTAAGCTAAAGCTAAGCTAAAGCTAAGCTAAAGCTAAGCTGAAGCTAAGCTGAAACTAAGCTAAAGCTAAGCTAAAGCTAAGCTAAAGCTAAACTAAAGCTAAGCTAAAGCTAAGCTAAAGCTAAGCTAAAGCTAAGCTAAAGCTAAGCTAAGATAGACCGCGCTCGTGGGGCCCGACAGACTAGAAGGGGGGCCCCAGCTGGAAGCTACCCCCTCCCCCCTTCCTTGCTAAAGGGGGCGGGGGCTTCGGAAGCCCCCCCCCCCTCCCTCCCTTTTCGTGGTCCGGAAGGGGGGGGGGGGCTTCCAAGCTAACCCCCCCCTCCCTCCTTTAATTGAGCCGGGTGAGCCACCCCCCCCCTTTGGCCCCCCCCTCCCTTTTCGTGGCCGGAAAGGGGGGGGGGCTTCCAAGCTCCCCCCCCCCTCCCTCCTTTTAATGGAGCTGGGGTGAGCCACCCCCCCCCTTTGAAAGGGGGGGGGGCTTTGGAAACTCCCCCCCTCTCCCTCCCTTGGTGCAAAAGGGGGGGGGGGCTTGAAGCCCCCCCCCCCTTCCCCCCTTTGGCCGCCCAGCTCCCGGAGCCATCGCCCTCCCTTTCGCGTCCATTTATTCCCGCCCCTCTCCCTCCTCCTCTTCTTCCTTTTGCCTCCTCCTCTTCCTCGGTCTCCTCATCCTCCTCATAGTCATCATCGTCATCATCATCATCATCATCATCATCATCATCATCATCATCATCATCATCATCATCATCATCATCATCATCATCATCATCATCATCATCGTACTCCCCCGCGGGTCCTTCCGTTCCGTTCCTCCTCCTCCTCGGTTTTCTCCTCCTCCTCCTCCATGTTTCCCTCCCCACCTCCCTCCTCCTCCTCCTCAACATCCATCATACATCATCATCCTCCTCTACCTACCTCCTCCTCCTCCTCTTATCCTCCTCCTCCGTTTCCCCCCTCCACCTCCTCCTTCCTCCTCCTCCTCCTACCTCCTCCTCCTCCTCTCCTCCTCCTCCTCCCTCTCCTCCTTACTCCTCCTCCTCATCCTCCCTCACTCCTCCTCCTCTCCTCCTCCCGCCTCCTCCTCCTCCTCCTCCTCCTCCTCCTCCTCCTCCTCCCCCTCCGCTCCTCCCCCATCCTCCGCCTCCTCCTCCCCCAGCTGGCCGCCGTCTTACACGAACACTGCCAAACCCGACGGGCTGGCGTTCTCCGAATTACACTTCGTGCAACTTTCGGGGGGGAATGGTATTTTCCCCAACCCTCCTTGGTTGGGTATTCGTTTTGAATAGAGCAGTGTGGTCTCCACTTCCTCCTTCCCGTCCCGTCTCCCTCTTGCCTCCTCCTGTCTTGCCTGCGGGGGGCTGCGATCTGTGAAACTGTCGCCACTTTCGAGGCCTGCTGGGGTGCCCAGCACAGTGACGCCACGGGCGGACTCAAATTAGACCTCGCCATCCCTGGGGGGCTGCGATCTGTGAAACTGTCGCCACTTTCGAGGCCTGCTGGGGGGCCCAGCACAGTGACGCCACGGGCGGACCCAAATTAGACCTCGCCATCCCTGGGGGGCTGCGATCTGTGAAACTGTCGCCACTTTCGAGGCCTGCTGGGGGGCCCAGCACAGTGACGCCACGGCGGACCCAAATTAGACCTCGCCATCCCTGGGGGGCTGCGATCTGTGAAACTGTCGCCACTTTCGAGGCCTGCTGGGGGGCCCAGCACAGTGACGCCACGGGCGGACCCAAATTAGACCTCGCCATCCCTGGGGGGCTGCGATCTGTGAAACTGTCGCCACTTTCGAGGCCTGCTGGGGGGCCCAGCACAGTGACGCCACGGGCGGACCCAAATTAGACCTCGCCATCCCTGGGGGGCTGCGATCTGTGAAACTGTCGCCACTTTCGAGGCCTGCTGGGGGGCCCAGCACAGTGACGCCACGCGCGGACCCAAATTAGACCTCGCCATCCCTGGGGGGCTGCGATCTGAGATCCCCGCTTTCGAAGTGGCTAGGGTTGCTCAGGGATTGCAACTAATCAGCTTTATCTAGTCCTTGTCCTGAAGCCAGTGTCCTGCGAGTCTCCCGAATTCCGTCTGCAGACATATGTAACCCTCGCTCCGTCATCGCCCCCCCTTATAAAGTGTCCTAAACTATTTGCGCCCCGCGTTTGCGCAGGGGTTGGGTACGTCGCCAGGGTAATTTTTCGTTCCCGGGCGTTGGCACGGGACGAGTTGAATGATACACTTGCGTTGCAATCGATTGCAATCCATTGGATTGCAAACGATTCGATTGCAATCCATTGGATTGCAATCGATTGGATTGCAATCGGTTGAATTGCAATCGATTCAATCGATTGGATTGCAGGGGAGGGACAGGACGGAAGGGAGGGAGGGGAGGAGAGGGAGGGGAGGGAGGAGATGGAACGAAGGGTGGGGAGGGAGGGGAGGGAGCGGAGGGAGGTGGGGAGGGGGATTGCAGTGGAATGGAGTGCAATCGATTGCAAGCGATTCGATTGGGATTTTCGATCGTCGATCGTTGATCGTCGATCGTCCATCCTCGATCGTGGATTGTTCATTTTGGATCGTCGGCGAAAGGGAGGGCGGAGGCTCCGGGGGCTGGGCGGCCAAAGGGGGCAAGGGGGGGGGGCAAGCTTCCAAGCCCCCCCCCCCTTTGGCACAAAGGGGGGGAGGGGGGTGGGAGCTTCCAGCAGGGCGGCTCCAAGGGAGGGGGGCGGTAGCTTAAGCACCCCCCCGGGGGTAGGGGGGGGTAGCTTCCGGGGCGGCCAAAGGGGGGTGGGGGGTGGGTAGCTTCCAAGCCCCCCTCCCCCTTTGCACGAAAGGGGGGGAGGGGGGGAGGTAGCTTCCAGCAGGGCGGCGCCAAGGGAGGGGGGGGTGGCTTAAGCACCCCCCCCCCCTTTGGATAGGGGGGAGGAGGGAGGGTAGCTTCCGGAAGGGTCCAGGGGGGGGGGGGTAGCTGTAAGCCCCTCCCTCCCTTGCAAAAAAAAGGGGGGAGGGGGGGGTGCTTCCAACAAGGGCGGCTCAAGGGAGGGGGGGGTAGCTTAAGCCTAGCCCCCCCTCCCCTTTGCTCGGGCCCTGTGGGCGCGCTCTCTCGTAAGCTAAAACTAAGCTGAAGCTAAGCTAAAGCTAAAGCTAAAGCTATAGCTAAAGCTAAAGCTAAAGCTAAAGCTAAGCTAAAACTAAAGCTAAAGCTCCCAGGGGACTGGGGGAACCGTGGGGCGGGGACCGGGGGAACCGCCCGGGGCGGGGAACACTGCCCGGCTCCTTTAAGCTAGTAGAGTAAGAACCTTTCTAGGCAGAGCCTAGGTAGGGAATTATGGGTGTCTTGGAGTATCCGTACACGGACCAGAACGTGGAATATATCAGAACTTTTTCTGGCCAGCGGAATATCAAACTACCGTTCTTGCTCTAGACGTGCCTTGAACACCAGACAGAAGCCGAAGTTGCAATGGCGGGCTCTACCAATGGTTCATATCCTCGGGAGCCGACGCGTCCAAAATGTTATTTGTCCACGCCCCGCGTCCCGGTGCCCAAGCCGCAGCAGGAGGACGTGAACGAGTTCCACTTCGTCGAGGACATCATCGTCGACCCGGGGTCCTATTGCAGCCAACATGGCGACGTATCCAGCATGACGAGGCAAGCGCGTTCACCCAAGAAAATGCGAGAGTACCTCACCAGGCGCGCCATGGACTTCCAGGCAGTCAGGAGGCTGCGCCCGACAGACGTTGCTGACGCGTCGATCGGGGAGATTCTCGACGGGAAGAAAGTGGGCTCCATCGAGCGAGAGACCCGCGCCATTCCCGACATTCCCTTCCATATCCCGAGCAGCATCCAGCGCGCTAGCAGGGGAAGCGGACGGCGTCGATGCGCACGCGGACAAGACGCACGACGCATCTACAGGACCATCAATACTGGCGTTTTCTTCCCAGTGCGTGCGCTCTCAGGATACATCAGAACATTGAGCCTTGGTCGCGTTCTTACGCCTGCCCAGAGGAGGTACTCGGGGACGGGCGCTTCGTCTCCTGCTATTCTGTCCTCGCGTCGCCCCCAGCGAGCGAAGGGGGCTTCGAAGCTGGACAATTTCAGTTCAAGCAGGAACAAGCAATGCGCAGCTAAGGACCCGGCTGTCGCGGTCCGGCTATCTTCCCGGCTGTGCTTCCGCAGCGAGGTGCAGACCGCGGGCGTGAACAGGTGGCTCTCCAACGGCAAAGACTCCCCCCGTGCCAGAGGGGAGCAACGTGACCCAATGGCGTTTTCGTGAAGCTGTTCAAGATGTACTAGCTGAGCATCAACCGCGTACCGATGAGGAGAGGAGCCGCCGTCACGAGACGCTTGCGGGCCATTCTGCGTTCCAGCATGCAGAACGAGATTGTCGCCGAGATGGCCGAGCTCCGGGGGCGCGACTACGACTTCATGCGCGGCGGCGGGTATGTGCCCAGTGGAGCACTGGATTCCCGCGAGCTGATCACTCGGCGGATAGACGAGAGCATGCTCGTCGCTGCTGAAAAGCGCAACGCCGAGTTATACCTCGAGCACGCGGGATACCTGGGGGCAGAGGACCTGCGCCCGCACGAACTCGAGGTAAACTACAGCGCCCCCACGCTGACGCTGGCCGAGTGGATCGCGCACAAAACCAAGGACAAGGAGGAGGAGACGGAGACCGAGCCCGAGGGCGAAAAAGGAAGAAATGCC